TTCATAGAATTCTTTTCCTTTACAAATCTAAACAGAGTATGAACAACAGCTTTAGCAGAATAACATGATTTGAATATGTAAACATTCTGTACAAATTGATGTTAAAATTGTTTTGGGTTGCAAGTAGCTGATGAGAAAAAGTCGTTTTCGTAGATTTGTACACATTTTTTTATGAGAAGGCCTTTATAACTAATAGAGTGGACGTCAAGCAACATTTTTATGTTCTTTTTCACAAGTAAATTTGATAAGTCGATGGGTACTGGCTTCAGTTTTTGAAAGCAACTATGTATCAAGTTTGCTGACAAGAGAAATTTGGAAATGTTGACTTATGGAATTAATTCATGTGATTGAATGCCATTACAGCTTCTAAAAATCGAAAGGATCGTGGTTCACTCCCGTATGTGGTTACTGGTATGCATTGCCTAAGGTTCCCTTACTATTATCAAGTGACTTATCAATCCTCCCTAGATTTTGGAGGTTCATCATTTAATAATATTCCATGACGAAAACTGCATTGAATATACTCAGTCTACACACACCGCCCAATGAAATAAACATAACAGTATTCCACATAATGTCAACGTATTCTCAGTCACAGATGAGTAACAGCATCCTGTTATTCATGATAAATCTTCCAGATTAGATTGCTTCACTAGGTGTGAATTTTAAGCTCACTTAATCGGATTTGTATAATTTACTACAATGATGATCAGGTCAGAATGAGAATGGATTATTATTATTATTATTATTATCTTTCCCTTGGGTTCCTAGTGGGTCATTGGGCTTCAGTAAAACGTCTCCATTCCACTCTCTTCTCTACAGTCTTTTGAAACTGGCTCAACAACTACCCACAAGCTCTCATTTCCTCCTCACACGATCTCCTCCATGTCACCCTCAGCTGGGACGCCCAACTCGTTGTTTCCCATTTGGATTCCACTTGAGGCTCTGGCCTGTCACGTGATGTCCCCGAATGGTCTCCTTAGTATATGTCCAATCTATCTCCACTTTCTTGTGCATGTTTATTCGGTAATAGGTTCTTGATTGGTTCGTTGCTCAGCCAGAGTTCCTTGTTGCTTATTCTTTCTGGCGAGAATGCATGACAGATTAGCAGAATGGACAAAACAGTGTAGTTGTTCATATACCATAGAAAAGCCCTATAGAGACCTAAAGCATTAATTGAAAAGCTGGACTTTTATTTAGCTGGTGCTATTCAGACCTTATGCAAAGTTCTCTTGCTGTCCTATGATCGTGGACTATATGGCTCTCCACGATAAAGGCATCAGTGGTAAGTAATGCAGTTGCTGAAAACCAGAATTTCCTACTGCAAGAAAGTTATCTTCTGACTGTTGCATAACAGACAGTTAATACTAAGCCGAACTTCATAGTAATAAATTCATGATCCAAACTCAGACATGAAAATATAAACTTAGGATGCACTATATCACATAAACACTGAGAGATTGCGAAAAGTAATGTTTGGCAATAAAACACTTTTCCGTGAATAAATAAACAAATTAACGCGTATGTAAAGATGAAAAAGGTTCATACATAATTGTCTTTTCCAATTTGTTTGTGATATTTCAATGTATTTCAGTGTATTTCCACGATTAAAAAACCCAGCTCAGAGAACACAATACAACCAAGATTTACTTTATCGCATTCAAAATTTTGATATGTGTAGTCTGTACTGCATGAAAACCCAGACTATAAGAATATAAAAAGGAATGTGGTTCCACTAAGTTTCATATTACTTAACGTCTAAATGACTGCCGGCATCTGATATCAGACGATGAAATTCTCGAAGTTGCATAACTATGGCCACACGTTTGATCCAGTTTTATATGCTTTATAGGTTCTTTCTGTCAAAAGTATTGTAGGTCGATATCACCTTATTCAGAT